AAATTATAATTTTTGGAAAAAAAAATTAAAAAGTATAATTTAGGAAAAAAATGAATAAAAATATATTTTGCAAGGCGCCAAATTTATTTATACAAATTTTTTTAATAAAATAGTGCGTGAACAAATCATTTATACTAATTTTTTATTGTAAGGATTATTTTGCAAAGAGTACATTGATGTTAGAGACAATAAGCATGGGAATTTCCAATTAACAATTATTAACTTGTTGTACATAAACTATAATTACAGATTTGTAATGTTATTTTAGATAAAATAAAGTATTTCATTAATTAGATTACTCTTCCGGCACGTTCATCAAATAATGCACGTTCTCGGTCATTACTAAGTTCAGGACCCCATCGAAAGTCAGGCTTAAACAGCAATCGGATATTTTCTCCTTTACGCAGAGACCCAAATATTTGAAAAATCATAAAAACAATAGTTATCACAAAAGGACCAAGAGTTGTAACGTAAGCAAGTACTCCACGTGTTCTGTAAAATAAATCTGAAGTTTTGTAATTTATAAATTAGTACTTCACATTGAGATGCTAGGATAGATAATGCCTTAACTATAAAAGAACATTTGAATCATAAAACAAGACTAATTACAAAACTTAGTACAATTAACTTTATTTTTGAATTTTGACTGGTTGAAAGTATGTTTAACTATGGGTAGAAATTTGTAAGTATTTTAATGCGATATCATAAAAAGTAGTCAAGCAGTTGTTATTCACAAATTCAGTTCTGTGCATAATCATAAAAATTACTTGTAAAAGCCTGATGTTATAGTTGCATACAACGAAAAACCGGCTAATATCTGCAATCATAAGCTGAATTAAATTTTAATTTAATTTTGCTGAATATATTAAAATTTCTAAGCAAATTCAAAAACTGTGATCAATTTCAAGTTTCACCAAATTTCATATTTTAAAACTATGATTGTTTATAATAATAGATGGAAACTAGCCAAACATAATGCTGGAGTAACAAAGTACCAACAAATTGAAAAATACCAATTAACTGGATATCCTAAAGACCTGAAATTGGAAAAATTATCACGAGTTTTTCCTGCACATGTAATACATTTCGGTAATAAACAAATTTACAGCTGAAGAAATGGTGCTTGAGACAGAACAAATGTTATTTGTTATTTGTTTTTACTGCTTCACGTGCTTTAATTATGATATATGATAACCATTATCTATTAAGATCTTGATTACAAGTACGTATATACTCACAAAAGTGATAAATGATCTGTTACGAGAGATAATGATGCAATGAAAAGCGGAGATTGTATTTTAACAATTAAAAATTACAGATATCTTAATTAAATAATCGCAAAAATATACAGAAATTATATATGGAAATTTCAGTGTTGCAAATATAATAATTATAATTATTATTAATATTAATTTTAATATTATTATTATTATTATTATTATTATCATGCAGAGCTATGCAAGATGCGCAGAATTATTGTTATTGTTATTATTACTAATCGTATTTATTGACGCAATTATATTAGCTAACTATATTGAACATACTTCCAAAATTTATTTGGAGGTTGGCCAAGCATCGTTTGTAAATTAACTATAATTCGTTTTAATCGGTACAAATGTATGCTAACAAAAATTTCGAGTATGCCTAATAAAGATAAAGCAAGCGAAAAATAAAGGTATTCTATACCAGATGAAATATATTCCTGTAATAGTTGTAATAATTAATGAGAGTAAAATATTAGCTAATTAAGATAAAATCAAACTTGCAAAGGAGCAAAAACTTACGCAAAAAGCTTCGTAATGTATGTAAGCACACATGAAGAGAAAATAGAAAGAGACGATTAAATTACGTGATGTTATACTATTGACGTATTTTATCCGAGTCACTGAACGATAAATAGTCATAATGATCATTTCTAGAGCCATTAACTATAAAATACTTTAGTTATGATAAATTTGTTTCTAGGGAATTTAGATTTTCATACTTTAAAATTTTATATTTTAATCTAATTTTTGAAATAACTAGAATGCGTTTTTCACAATTTTCTTCGTAAATTTACTATTTATCTCCTAATTTAAAATTCCTTTTCCATGCTGATTAATTTGCGCGTAATAAAATACTTTACTACCTGAGCACCTATACAAAACATAAATATTGATAGATAGCAAAAAACGAGAAGTATAGTGCCATATATTGTTGTACAAAAAACATAAGGTAAGATAATATAAGGTCCATAATGTCCATAAGTCCATAATCGTTCAACGGAAAAAAAGTTTTGTTTTTATTAAAAATGAAGTGATTAGGACTTTAAGTATGACTAAATATATAGGATAATGATAATATCTCTTCTCGACTCTTAGGGTTAAAAGTCTGATAAACAGTAAATGTATTTGAACGATTTTGATGAATAAAAATGAATTTTGTTAAAATTTTTGCATAACTTTCAAATATTCACAAGTGAATGCATGAATATGAGCTAACCTTTTCATTCACCCGTTAATTAGCAATTTTAGAATGCAGAAAGTTAACTTACTTTCATTGGAAGTACCCGAAGGATATATATATTTAGCAGCTGCTCCACCTACTGTGAAGATAACAAAGCAAGCGAATATATTAATTAGCATACCATAAATAATAGCAATTAAGGTATCACTGAAATCAATTAAATAAAAATTATGTAAGTAAAACAAAAACTATTGACTGATTGAACACAAGTTTTAAATTGTTTGTCAAATAATTTATTACCAGAGCACTAACAGCAATTTGTAAAAAAATAAAATTTAACAGTCTCAAATTATTTGAAAAAGTTTTCGTATTTATTCTAAAAAGAAATATAAGTGTAAATTATTTAATTCATCAAAAAAGAGCTGAAAAAGTTTTTAAATTTCTATGAAAATTCTCTTCAATTTATATTCATATTCATTAATTGATATCATTTTTAAATTATTTCTTACTTTAATGACATCATTTTTGAGCAAATTTTTTTCACTAATATGAATTCAGTACGATGAATTTTTATAATTTTTTATATTTTCAGCAACATTATAATTAGAAAGTTATTAATACTAAATAATACTCAATTACCGCATAAAATTATTCTTGAAAGTTTTCATTGCTGCTAATGTCATGAATGAGCCATCTAAGATATTTGTTGCCACAATCGCCTACTAAGTTACTTTTATAAATTTTACTTTTATAATTCAAATAAAAACCATTATACTATAATTAAATGAAAAATTAACAGTAACCGAATGTTCCATTTGCTAAGAAAATATTTTGCTTCAAAATTTTTAAAAAAGAAATTCATAGCTGTGCTCATAAGTTACCACTTTGATATCGTATTTTTGAATCAGAAAATGTATACAAAACTTTTTATTTTTTTAATCTTTTTTACTATTTTAATTTTTTTAATGTATACAAACTTTTTTAGTTTTAAAACCAAAGCGCATTAATTTATTTTTAAATAAATTTTATGTACATGCAGCAGAGCAGCAGCCCAAGCTCTCGTAGTCATGAGTTCGTCCAAATCTGGTTCAAGTCCTTCTGCAATGTAATGCAGTCCTTCAAGTAATTCAATCCGATGGAAACTATAGATAAAGCTTGCTAACAAGCACAATAGTGGAAATATAACGATAAATCGTGATATCTGAAATAAATATGTAATTATAATAAATATCTGATTCAGGACACTTTCCCATCTGATGCCCAATTCGGGAAAGCAGTTAATTACCTACTTGTCAAATTTGAAGGCGGCAGGCATCAATGAAGTCTATAGCACTTTTATTAAGAAATTAACCTCCTTGCATCCAGACATGTACAAAATGGTAAGACAGATTTTATCATAAACATTTACACAGTTTCCAAGAATAATTTTAAGAAGGAGAGCAGAGATCCTGAAGCAGAAGGAAGTTCATAACACGCACCACGCACCTAGCAACTATAGTTTTTTACCTTTAGACTAAACACAAACTTCATAGACAACTACTGAAAAAAAAAAGAAGCAAAAGAAATAGAAGCAAGTGCCTACATTGTAGGGAACATTTGAAAATCATCTGGTAACGTAGTGCGAGAAAATGCTGCTATATCATGACTATACTAGAAGACGCAAGAAGTACCGCCGTGTATTCACTTGAGACTTTCCAAGAAGAATAGTCTGAAAGCACTCCTGTAAATGAGAAGCCATTCGGTCCAGGAGGTCATGGCAAATAAGATCGTAGAGATCAGAGTCGATACGCGGAGGGAAAACAATTATGAAGATAAGTGCGGATCAGGCTGATATCATGATCGACAGTAGGAAGAGACATGAAGTAATCTGATAAAGGTTGCATTACTGGTCAGGACAGGTTAACAGTAGTCGAGATCGAAAAAAATGCCCCGAGTTTATTAGCCAGTTGGTCATATTTGACCTGCTGGCAAATAAACTCGGGGCTGAAATGAAGTGCAGGATGAAATTAATTTCGTATGTGATTTGGAATGGGTTGCAACGAATTTCCATAGGCGTTACGTGAAGGAAATTAGTGTGTCTGATCACTTCTAGGTTTATATACAATCAATAATGCTCAAGAAGACGCTCAAAAGCACCTCATTCGTTCATCGTTGTGGATTTCTTGCACATGAAGCAGTGGAGACTAGCACAGAGGAACTAAGCGTGGAGCTAATATATATATTTATACATAATCCCTAGGATGCATTTTCAAGATTTGGATATAAAGCGAGTCCTTAAATAAATTAAAGTTGCACATACTCATAATTGCCTAATAACTGAACTTCAGAACAGATTAATAATACAAAGAATTATGAATGTGCATATATTCGCAACCTTTGCATATATTCGCATTCCAAGAATAGCGACTACTGAAATAATAGCCTGTTGGATTACTGCTGACGCTATAAAAAATGGACTTGGTGAAAAGGGATTCCGAATTTTCTCTAGACTGAAAAATTCGTTTAATTCAAATAACGAAGGAGAAAAAATACATTTCAGTCTATAAATTAGTAAATGTAAAGTTTTATTTACTGCGAAAAAATTATTGAAATTTTGTACGGTGCGGTTTTACGTTACTTTGCCACTTTTTGGTAAGAAAAAAACACTTTTTTTTTAAAAATAGCATAATTTTTTGATGATTTTTTAGTGAGGAATCTAACTTTATTACTAAACGCATATTTAAGGCAAATGTTCTGCTCACTTCTAATCTATAATAAGTTAACAAGTATTATTTATGAATATTTACAAATAAATTTGAGTAGGAAGTTCTCGAAGAGCTCCAGAAGAAGTTGTTAAACCAATAACCATTTGCTCCCAAGTAAAATTTGCATAATATCTTCCTTGACGTTCAAAAAATGAATAGCACTTTGAATAATACTGATATTGACTGTCAATTTCACGGCATTGAATATTAGGATCAAAGCAAGAAGCTGAAAAAATGATTTCAAAAAGCTCTGGTATGCTTTTGGATAATTTTTATTTTGTTAAAAATTGTGAACGAAAAAGTTTCTTCATTATAGTTATTGACTCACTCAACAATATTTGTAGCTATAAGATAAAACTTTGCTTTAAACCTCATACAGTATTTTAACCACTACCCGTAGCTACTACTGTAGTTCAATTCATTTCAAAATAATAGTAAACAAATTCTAATGAATGCAAGAAAAGTTATATTACGGTGGCCATGATAAAAACATTGAAGCCATTCATCTCTGATTTGTGTAGAAAATGCTGCAATGGCAGCTTTTAAAGCATAGAATAGGTCAACTGTTGAGTAGGCTAGCAGTAAACTTTTGAAAACTGCAACCATTGACATGGCAAAACCAATACCTATAAAGGAGTCTCATAAACTTGAAAATTTAATAAAATAAAAATTATTTTTATGCCATAAATGGTAACGTGAAGCAGTTCTTACACTTTTATTTCAACGATTTTATCACAAAGTAACTTGTAATTACATGAAATTTTAACATAATGTTAAGAATAAATGATATTTCGATAACACTATAATTAATTTAAAAAATTTTGATATTTTGTGATATTTATCAAATAATGGAGAAAACATTTTCAATAAAAATATCATTACTAGTTAATAATAATAGCATTAATAAATGGAGGAAACATCTTAAAGTGTTTGACTGCTTTGGATTTCCCACGTATAATTTTAATTAAAATATACTTGTCTTTTTTAAATAAAAATGACAAAAAAGTAAAGTATTCTTACCACTGAAACCCGGACAAAGATGCGCAAAAAGTTGAACTGGTGGTAATGAACTGTATTGTCCAAGTGCATTTTCCAAGTAAATGATAGGCGTTGTAACAAATACAAGGCATAAAAAATACGGTATAAAAAATAATACTGTAAATAACTTTTTTGTACTAATTGAAAATCTTCAAATATTGTATGAAATTTTAACAAATTAATCATTGTATTAATTTGGAACAATAAAAAAAATAAAAAAAGCTGATTTGTGTATATCCTTCATACTTTTTAATATAACTGTGAAACTATCAATTTTACTGGATTTGATGAAATTCATTGCTTATTTAGATAAATAATTAGTTGCAAATAGTATATCACTTTGATAATTCTTGAAAATCATTACAGTGCGAGTAGCACAAATATACCTCCGCCAGATTCAGACAGTAATGCCGGAAATCGAAAAACATTATTTATACTTACAATAAATGAAAGAGTAATGAAAATATGATCAGAACTTTTGCTAAAGCGAAATATCGAATTCATATACTTGTTTCTTAATTTGTCTGCCTAAACTATCATGTTTATGTGCAATAAATAATTGAACATTAATTTTCAGACTCTTATTTCAGGTCAAAATATCAGTTAATTCTAAAACAATTAAGATATATCCACAACTTCAATCACTTTAATCACCGATAAAAATTTGCATAAGAAAAATCACAACTTTTTGAGATGGATAACAAAAATGGAACAATTATTCCAAATATCAACTATTTAATTTTAAAATTCATTAATTGAATTCTGGAAATTGAATATATGACATTTAAATTTGTTTTGGATAATGTTTTGAACTATCAGTGACTGCTTCCTTATTTTCAATTTACTATTTTTCAATAGTAATTGTACATGACATAATATTTTTTTATTTATTTCCTTGATATGCTATGATTTTAAGCATTAATTGTAGCACAATAATCTATTGTTATATTTAAATTCTTTAGTTATCAATACTATTAACTTTTAAATACGTATCTCTTCAGTCTTATGAAATTCTTTGTAATAAACTTCATGAATAATCAAAATTAATCAAATTACCGTCTCCAATACATTCTCAACTGGTGATGCAACGTCTGACGATGCGTCAGTTTCGATATTTGCAATGCTTTCTACATCTCCAGCTAAAAATTTTCATGAAGGATTTATTTAGAAGTTTTTTATTATTATTGTATTTCTGGACAATACTCCCTTACTTCTATTACTTTCATACTATAAATTCTTACCAGTACATTATTAACTGACAATATTAATCTACCCGTAAACTACTACTAAAAATTTCAACAACAAGTTTATGAAAAAAACAATCAGTTTCAGAAAAAAATTATAGTAATTCATGAAAATACAAACAAACAAAATCAGCTTGAAATGTGTCCGTCATCAGTACTTGGATGCCTGAAATTTCAGTACTTAATTATGTATCACTTAATATGTAATAAAAAAATTGTTAATTACCAAATTCAGGCAGTCTCAGCTTTTTGCACTATTTTCATCTTCACAACACGGCAATTACAACCTTTTCTAATTCGGAGATGAACACAACTGCCCGACTATTCTTCGCGTTGACAAAATCATACAATAAATTTTATTACCAACCGCCCAATAAATTGTACAGCTGTAATAAGAATGGCAATTCATCTACTTTCCAAATGCTAACCGCACTTCGTAGGATTCACAATTTCTTCGAAAACTATTAAAAATTGACAACAGGAAGAAACTTTGCAGTAATATTAGCCATTATAATGCAAATGAGGAGTGAATTTTGCAATCATTCAGCAGCAAAAATAATTTAAATTTGCTACATATATGCGCGAATCGATGAATTTGAAAACTTCAGAGTAATGACGTCTGCAAGCCTCTTTAACTCATTCAAAAAAAAGGGTAAAAATATCACAAAAATATCAATTTTTAGATTATTTATAATGTTATCATGCAATTACTTTGTGCTGTTATTTAACAGTAAGAATGAAATATTGTTTCAATGATATTTGCATCGTTTGATTTTATTTAGTGAGCTG